AACTGAACGACCTTCCAACGTGTGGACGCGATCACAATTTCGTGGCCAATAACTCTGCCAACACATTCGCCACTGTGTTGGCCAACGTGAAGAGGCGCCATTAAACAAAATACGTAAAAAAAACAAGTATTTGTTTTTATTGACAATATAGGCTTTAACAAAACAACAATACGAGTATAAGTACGACGCGTCGAATAGTCATTACCAGGAACATTTATTATCATGGTAAAAACTTTAAACGGATGTTGCTAAACGATGGCAATGAATGGAGCTATGTGAAGTTATGACCGGTTAGAATGAACGTAATATCAATATCAGAGCCAAGGACACTCAGCGCTCGCGTCTTGCAGCGGTTTTATGTAGTCAAAAGTTTAAAAATATTCTCTACACCTTAGATATGCAGGTACTTTATATACTTACAGATACAATACGTAAAGCTATAGTTTTATTACTGTCGTCAACATGACAGAAAAGCCATTTATGAGATTTTACGATTCATGATGTCACTTTGTAAATAATATTACATGAAATTTATTTTTACTGCTAGAAATATAATAATAATTTATGCATTTTAACTATATTCAATTTCATTTACAATTTTACAGTAAAATGATTTTAATAGTTTCTTTCAAAAATATTGTTAATTTTAATATTTACATTCGATCGTTAACAAACTTTATAACTGAATGTTTATCATAATATACTCTCTTTCTGGTTATACCCGGCATCTATGGGTAAGTAAACCACAGCACAGTTGTAGAAATATACCAACCGAATCCTCGGACCAGTCGGGAACAAATCCAACCCAAAAAGACAAGTGAAGCGTGTGTACACAGCAGACAGTGTGTCAACTCCCAATGGGGCGATGACAATCTTTGTGATACCTACTTAAGAGTGTACACAAACATTCATAAGCATAGTGCTTATTTCCACTCGAAAGAAACCTCTATAAAACACAAGCGTGTCTCTCCACTGCAAAAAAAATCCCGCTTACCTTAGCTCCTACTTACCTGGATATGTTTTCGAGTACACTGACTGACAACCTTCAGTTATGAGGGGTTAAGATTCCTTCGAACCTTAACTTTGGGCCGTTCATTAAGCTCAAGACCAAAGCAGCTGCAAGGACACTCCGGGACAGATACTTACTCTCTACAAAGTGCATCCTTTAGTTTTTTCTACCGAAATCAAAAAGGAGCCGGTACTCAATTCGACTGTATGTTTTTTTTTAATGTGTATTAAAGTATATAAATTTGATCAAGGTCTGACCAATAGTTTTTGAGTTATTCTTAATAATTTATATTGAAGTCGGTTGTACAAAATTGTTAATTTTAAAATATTGACCGTGTGGTTGTAGCGTAAAAGAACCCATCGACCCCATAACCCCATTTCTTGGATGTTGTGAGAGGCGACAATGGAAAATTCTAGAAAAATGTAATAGCCTTCGATAGATGGAGGTATAACCAATTATGCTACACGTAAAATACGCAAACCAGTGACAAAAAAAATATTGAGAAAGATGCGAGACATCTGGTCAATTGGCCTACCAAACGTGACGAAATAGTTCACCCTATAACAAAAGAGGCTTTTACAGTAGTAGACTTTTACGGGTCAATGATGTAGAATCAGAACTATATTATGACCTTTACAATTAAAGCTATGAATTAAAGATTATATAATCATAGAGATACATTTAGACAGTATTAAAAAAAAAAACAAGAGTATTTAAAAGTCTACAGTGTAGCCCACACTCTTTTAAAGAGTCTACAGCCAGGTCTAGAATTAAATAAAAATAGTTAAAATAAAATTAAAATGGCGGGGAGTATAATCAACAGCTAAACTGGCAAGATTGAAACTAGGCACATACTTTCCATTGAATTTTATCAATACTTTAACAAAACCTAATCAAGATGTTGCAAAGGCGTTTGAGCAATATTTTACCGACATTCCAATCTTGACTTCAAAGTCACTGAACTCCCCCTACGTGGCCTAGCTTCGCTCGGCGTTAGATACATAATAGATATCATTTTACTCGGGGATGACAACTTAGGTAGCTGAAAAACTTGAAAAGTAAAACATATTCTGAATATAAAATTTTATTCAAATCGTAAGAGCTATTTGCGGGATTCGTTATAGACCGCTTGTTTAAATATTAAGATAAATTTACACATACCTTACTGCCGTAATGCTATTTGTACAAGCGGGAGGACAATTATAAATCATGCAACATGTACCTAAATACTATATTATGTTGTCAAAATTTGCTGCGGTAATTTAAAGTAGTATTTAACCAGTTTGCAAAAACACTGTAATGTTTCATTAAACTACTTGTGTCCGAAATGACAGAATTCATTATTTAATGTAATAATACACATGACGTGGCTGTTCACTGCCGGTCGTATAAAGAAGCTAACAGCACAGAATAAATAACAGTACAAGAACTAACAATAGTTCAGCGAGCTGTGGGGAAGGCTACTATGCTCGAGGTTTCTCTACTTGATAAAATCCGTATCAACTATTTCCGCGGCAGAACAAGAGTATATTTTAATATAGAATAAGGGTGACAAACGAGCACACAGTCCACCTCATGGTAAGTGGATGGTAGTAAAGTTATAACAGTATACCTTCTTTATTAAAGTTGGGCCCAACATTTGAATGTTTGTGATGATTAATTAAATAACATAGACCAACAATATCTGTTTTTAATTTATATATTCTTTTTTTCTAGACAATATAAAGAAATATTTTTTTTGAATAGCCTTAAATCAAACAAACCTCTAGCAAACCTCTATCTTTTATATAAATAAAAAGATAGAGGTTTGCAGTTGTGCGCGCATCACGATAAAACTACTGGATCGATTTCAATTAGGTTTTCTTCTTTCTTTATTTCTTAGACACTTGGCCCTTATATTGCAATATCTTCATTTAATATAGTTATTAAAGTTTTAAGAAACTACGATTTCACTACGATTTATAAGCACTACGTGTTCAGTGATGTCCTTGACGGCTCCGTGGCGCAGTCACTTAGCAATGAGCTGCAGCGCTAAGGGCCACGGGTTCCACTCCCGCACGGAACAAGTATATGTATGGCCTACAAATAATTGTTCTGGGTCTTGACGTTTGTCCTTGTGAAATCTATGTATGTAAACTGTCCCTGCGATACAGGAGAAAATCCTAGTGTGGATGTAACATTTTTATAAAACAAGTTAAAAATTATGAGTGTTTTCTTGATATATCAAGCAACGCGGACGAAGTCGCGGATATCAGCTATTCTATACAAATAAATAAAATTGAAGTGTCTGTTTGTAATGTCAAAATTACAGCGTTTTACTAGATACATATGAAAGTATAAAGCTAGCTTAAAATATAAATCAAATATTTAATTGAAAAATCTAGGTTTTGATAATACCTATAGAAAGTGATTCTGTTGAATGGTTGATGTGTGCGGACCACGATTCGAGGTCGTCCGGATTTTACGCCTTTCTTTTTTTATTAAACAAGTGAAGCTTTGCTTTGTTGTTCCTTTAACTTAAAAAGGATCGCAGCTGCATGCTGTGATGCGTCAGCAAGTTACAATTATTTTCGCAAAATATTTCCCATTTTAGTTTTTCTCTACCGACTTCAAAAAGTAGGAGATATTCAATTCGACTGTATCTTCTTTTTTATGTGAGTTACCTCATTACCCTTTTATGGGTGAACCGATTTCAATGATTCTTTCTTTTATTTGATAGCTAGTACTTCTCATGTAGTCCCATATAAATTTGATCAAGTTCTGACCAAAGTTATTCCTAATAATTTATGTTGAAGTTGGTTTTTAAAAGTCTTATGTTGTAACGACCTACAAGGTTATTTTGACATATCAGATGACGGGTATGGCTTAAGATGACACTAGTCGACATTTTTTCCATCGAGGGTGGGGGGGGGGGTATTATTCCGCTGTTTGACACTGTACATCCAAAGTTAAACATATATCATGTTTAACTTTTTTGTCTCATTATTAATTTTCTCTCTGCGGAAACAGAATAGTAAAATAAAATAAAGTCTTAATGGCTTTATATTTTACTATTCTGTTTAAGTGTAAAGTTACGAGCTACCAAAGATTCGTTTTTATTGCCAGTTTTAACACAACTTACACAACTAATAATTTAAAACACATTATTTTCAAATAATCGAAAGTAAATCGTCATTTCTCCAGTACTTATGAGACCTGTTAACAATCCATTGATAAGCAAAACTATTACCATTAGGGTACGCTACTGGATTATAAGTTATAAGACATCTGTCTGTCAATGCTTAGATTTTAGTACAATACCTATTAAAAATAAATATCATAACTAACATTGTATAAAAATTTCAATCCGCACACAAAGCAAAAACGCAGTAAAATAAATTAAGGCGACGGTACAACTATTTTGAACCTCTGTGAACTTACCGTAACAGCCAGCCTAATAAAGTCCACTCTTGAAATAGGCCTCCCTCACTAAAAGAGGCTTATGTCTTATGCCCTGTTTGCAAAATTTCACATGTATCTATTTCGATTTATTATTTGAGATAAGTCACTAATGATACCGTGCTAGCTCAATGAGCCGTGGTAGCTCAGATGGTTAGCGCACTGTGTAAATAACACAGTACGCAAGCAAACGTGGTTCGATCCCCGCCGGCACCAATGAAATTGTTAATTGCAATTTTAAGTGCTGATTCACCACGTGCTCGGCTGTGAAGGAAAACATCGTGAGGAAATCTATATGTCTGAGGAATAAAAAAAATATTTCGAAGATATGTGAAGTTCGCCAACACGCATTGGGGCAGCGCGGAGGGCACTTTCTTGCGCTAAAACCCTCTCAGAAATGAGGGGAAGCCTGTGCCCAGCAGTGGGACGAATATAGGCTGTAACTTTACTAATGATACAAATCACGTATTTAAAAAGAAACTGCTCGCATTCATGTATTCTCTATCAATTGATTAGCATAGCAAGTGCATAATCAAAATGCTTTACGTTTCAGGAGTCGGTAAGATGAAAGAGTTTGACTTCTCCCTCCCGCCACTTCTCATGTGCTGCGGTTTCTTCATCATGTATCTGGTAGAGGAACTGGTGCACATATATATACATTACCGCGAGAAGAGGAACGGGCAGGCGGCTCTTCTGGTGAGGAATCTCAGCGTAAGGCGGAGTCGGACCAAAGGTAGCGAGAGCGACGGTGATAAGAGCGTCTCTAACTCAATCGCTGACCTTATTGACCCCGCTTCAATAAAAAAGTCTAAGGTAAATATTACACCATAAAACTTTCTCAGTGAAGTATTAAATGTTAAATAAAGAAATGTATATTGGTGCGATTTTTCGCTGTGTAATGGCAGCGTAAAAATATCGTTGTATGTGGGATTCGCAGGAGGAAACAGGAGATAGGCAAAATACTTTTCTTGATAATAACCGAAAATAATTTAAAAAAAACTGCGGTCGGCAACCCGCCTTCCAAGCGTCGTGGCCACTACAAGTATGGCAAAATAGGGCAATCTATAGAATTTATGAAGTTGTGAAGAGGCTCTACAATTTATATTGCTTATGGGATTTTTGTTGGCTTACCTAATCCGACTCTAGCTACATACGATAACTATCGTCAGGTGGACTGTTACTGTTACTAACTTTGACGAAAATGCTTCATCATCATCATCATTGCAGAAAATCACAACTCCACTCTGTATCTCTGATGTCTGCATTTCGACGAATACCAGATCGTTACTCCATGCATTGGGGGCCGCCCTACATTTCTCTTGCCGGTACAAGGCTGCCACTCGAGAACCTTTCTTCCTCATTGGTTTTTGAATATAATTATAATTTACCTGCCAGCTTTAAATAAAATCAATGTTCTTTTTTAATTAACCGTTTTACGTCGTTATAAAGACGAGTGCTTATTAGTACCTAATAATTGAAGATTATAATATTTAAATAATGATTTCAGGATCCAGAAATTAACAACCATCACAATCACTCCCACCATCACAGTCACATGCCAGTGACTAAAGAGGATGACGTCACCTCTGCATTACGTGGTCTACTAATTGTGCTTGCCCTTTCCGTTCATGAATTGTTCGAGGGTCTGGCTGTCGGATTAGAATCGAGCACTTCTCATGTATGGTAAGCCACCTTTAAATTTGTTTGCCATCTGTTGTAGAATAGCAGAATCATATTATATTAGCTATCAAATACTAGATGGCGCTGTAACTAAAGTAATATTAAATAATTTTCTTTTTCAATTATTACAGGTACATGTTAGGAGCAGTTTCCGCCCACAAACTCGTCATTGCATTTTGTATTGGTGTAGAATTAATTGCTACACGCACAAAGATCTGGCTTGCTGTAATCTACATTACGACATTCGCTATTGTATCTCCTTTGGGTATCGGCAGTGGACTTTTATTAGTCGGAGGCCAAGGAGCCACAGCTGCAGGAGTTTACTCAGTGGTTCTTCAAGGCCTAGCATCGGGAACTCTACTGTATGTCATCTTCTTTGAGATTTGGAAGAACGACAGAACTGGTATCGTCCAGTACTTCGCAGCTGTTACCGGATTTTGTGTTATGTTTGGATTACAAATGTTGAGTAAGTAGTTTTTTTCTTAGTTATCTGCTGAATAATATAGTAATGTCCTTCAACCGCACTTAAGTCACGACAGCTAGTCTCAACGGAGACTGGGTAGCCATCGACTAGATAGGATTATAAGTCCACGAGTGTATGCGTAAGCACGGTATGCACTCCACTCTATTCCCTCACTCTCATGGTGTGACGAATTTCCAATAACTGAAAAACCAAATAACTGATTTTAGCCCTCAGGTTCGAACCATTTGTTTGAATTGTTTAATTATTATTATTTTAAAAATTAGGAAATAACCTTCTAAACATACTAAACTGCCCAGATATACCACCGTTATTAAATAGACACCCAACATATTATATACAGAGATAGCCACAATCCTTTTTATATTGGGCTTTAAAAAGATCGGCTCTGTTTTGGAGAAGAACAGAGGAATACGAAAGTCTTCCTTCCGTCAATTTTTTTTATGGAACTTCAGCCCAAGTTGCAGCTATCTAGCATAACTCGACAGCAACAGATAGTTAAGGAGCTATTCTTCAAATTTCTTGCAGCCCAGATATCCTCTTAAAATTGCAATTAACACTTTCATTCGCCCATCTATCGGAGATTCCAGCTATGGACTCTTACGAGCTAAAGAAGATGAGGAAAAAGTTGCCTAAAAGAGTGCTAACGAACATCTTGGCTATACATGACCTAAAATAAGCATTTACCTATTCTTACCATAAGTATTATAGAGCCATACTTATTTTATTCTTTTACATAATTATTTTATTCTGACGACTTGGACGAAATGACCAAGCCTTTGTAAGCGTTGCGGATCACGGGTTCGATTTCGGCAGGCTATACAAATACTCATTCCGTATCTAAGTAATAGAAATTTATCAATGTCAAAAACGTCTCCCTATAATGGAAGTTCCTAGTGCGAGGCTAGCATAAATTGATAAAAGAAAATAAAAAAATAATGACGAATTTATATGTTTTTTTTTTTAACGTGTAACTCTTTAATTGTTACAGCGGGGCATTCGCACAGCCACTCCCACGAAGAGTCGAACGGACACCACGGTCACTCTCACGACAAATGAAAAGTTTTCAAAGAGCTAGGTTCTTGGTTTTAAATTTAAAACATTGCGACTGTTAAAGTGCTCGTGCGACCAGATGTTACAAAGAGACGTAAGTGTTAACATATCGGAGAATATATGAACAACACGTTTGTGATACAGAAATTGTGATGAATAGTATTTTAATATATTTTTGTAAACTTATAATTAATGTCGGTCACTCACTGAGAGCTGTGCACATAAGTATAATGTAAAAAGAATGTAAAAATGTTGTTGCCCATAAATCACATTCAATTTGGCATAATTTCAAATAAAAGTAGAAGCCTTATTTACTCGTATTTGTAAAACTGCAATAACGGTTTATCATTATTTATATATTTGAGCTTGAGTTTAAAATTTGGCTATTCTTTGAAAAATAACCCTGTGTGTATAATTTGTATGACATTTTTGTTTATAATTCCTAATAATATGCAAATACTTTCCAAGCATATCCTTTTCCACATTTTGTGCACGTAGGTACGTATGAGTGTTCGGGGTAAATTATGTTCAAGTTTAAACCTATAATTATAATTATAGATAGAAATGTGACATTCATTTGAAACAAGTATGTAATTTTAAGAATTTATTTGGAATGTTGTGTAAAGGGTTGTGTAAAATTTAGTTTACGTTGCCGAAAAATCTTTTTAGACATTTTTTAGATAGAGATCAGTTATGGATACGTACTGATTAGATTATTCGGCATCGCTATACATACTAATAAATATATATAAGTAGCCGGCCAGGCAGACGTTGTTCTGCGCTCTCCGACGACCTTTTGTCCTATAAAAATTATTAAATTCGTAATTAAAAATATTGAGGGTCACTTATAGGTATAAAAACTATCCTATCTCTCAAGTTGGACCAAACTGCACACAGTGTGCAAAATTTCATTGCAATCAGTTTAGTAGTTTAGGAGTTCATCGCGGTCAAACAATGTGACACGTATTTTTTATATATAAAGATTAAAATAAATGTATCATCAATTTTTAATTTTAACCTTCACCTAATTACAAGAATATTAATAATTATAAGTACAGTTGCATAGCAAATCATACTCTTGTACAGTTACCAGTTATCACAGTGGCGTGGCGTACAGATTTTCGACATTTTTTAATGAGATTGAGCAGTGCCATTAATATGATACGAATGAATGAACAAGGTTTTCTTTTATATAACATCACAGAATAAATAATAGTACTAATAATATGACTGTTGTGAGTATTGTTTTTGGTACTTGTGGTTTGAATTCCTACGGAACTTATTACGATTTTTCGCGATCGATTAATGAATATCTAGGTAATTATGGATTTTATAATGCTAGTATGACTGCTTTATTATATCAGTGCTGTTGGTGGAAAATCTAGAAGTAAAGTTTGAAACAAGCTTTCAGCGTTGGAATAATGTTGTGTGTAAGTGACTTTGAACATTAAAGTATTATTTAACAGAAGCGGGGAGATTACTTTTAATATAAACTAAACGCTATGTTTGTGTGTCTGTGATACCTACAAATATTGTAAAAAGCCCCAGCATACCTAAATAATGTAAATATGTATTGTTTAAGATAAGTACAAAGTTTTACTATGTAAGTATATTAAAATAAGACCGCATTTTGTATTAAATAATGAATAAAACAATTACTTAATGTACGACTTTCTATTTATTCTGTGAATGTCGCGGTGAGCGAAATCGCCCAGGCAATATTAACCAATATTCTAATATTCTGCCTGTTTGCATTCTGAAAACGGAATAGGAATAAAATGAGTCCTTTGATCACAACTTTTTTTTATAGGATAGGGTGATAAACCAGCATACAGTCCACCTGATGGTAAGTAGTTGCTGTGGCACATAGATATCTACATCTATTCTCGTTTGCGAATCAAAATGCAGATGCGTTGTCAGCCGTGAGGACTAAGATGGAATGCCTCTTTTCCAGTAAAAAAGGTCTCCGGTTCTCTACACTCACTATACGAAACACAGCAGTGTTAAGCTGCTATTTTACGCTGGTATTCTGTGAGAGCGTGGTCTTTCCCCGGTCAAGCCGACCCATTCGTGCTACAACTATACTACCAATATAGCTGCAACATGGCTCTACCACGTATAAAACTTTCTATTTGATGACTATTTGCAAGTTCAAGATTTTTTGTTGCACACGCGGACGTCCTTTTAAAACAGTATAACCAGACTCCAGGGACCCCGGAGGTGGGTGGACTTCCAAAGTTATATTTGAACGTCCAAAGTTGTAAATTTGAATTTTGTTATAATGGGTCCGAAAAAACAGTTTTCTGTGTAGTTACGGTGTCAAACTACCCCATATCTTCCCGTAGATGCCGTAAAAAGGCAACATAGGAAAACAACCCAGGAGATGGGCAGCAGCATTTTCCTAACAAAAAATATAAGTACAATCTGCGGTTGTCAACCCGCATGCAGAGCGTGGCAACTATAGCAAAAATTCGTCCCCCATGGGAAAGGCTTAAGTACCTTAGATCACATGTATGCTCAGGGCCGGATAAACCTTTAGGCAGAGTAGGTAACTGCCTAGAGGCCCCGCATCGGGTAGGGGCCCCGTTCCCGCACAAATATAATGGAAAATGTTTCATACGGAGAAAATTTTATTGGAAAATTTGTAACCTCAGTGACAATAGGTATTATTACGTTTTAGCGACGTCAGTTGATGAAATACTTCATACTTACAGAACAAAACCATCTAGTATCGAGTAGTAGAACTGATAACTAATACGTTACATCCCTTTATGCTGGCTGCAAAGGGGCCCTGAGAATTCCATTGCCTAAGGGCCCCGACATGGTTAATCCGGCCCTGCGACTCTTCGTGGGTGATCACGACCGAGAGTTCAATCTGCTACTTTCTCATCTTATATGTCGACTTATGTTGTTTGGTGAGGCCTATGGTTAACCGTAGACATGTGAAAGGCTGTAATAATAATGATGACGATGATTGTTAAATTGACTGTTTAGGCCAAAAATGGTCATTTTGAGACGGCATCCAATCACGTTCGACTTAGCAAATTGCCCGATGGTACCAGGTGTCACGCGTGTCGCGGGGAGGGGGCAGCGGAAGGCAGCTTCCCAGCGTTTGGCGCTGTCGGGCGAGAGACAGTAGCTCGCGGGCAGCGGTACAGTTAATTAGCGTATCTCGGTTACCGCTGCAGAAGTTTCGTGCGACCGGTTTTGGTTTATGGTCTAGATATTTAGAATTTGTGCGTTTTGTCTAGGTTTTAAGTTCGTGACAAGAGGCTTGTATTGTATTGGACTGATTAAAGTAATTCGTTTAAAAGTAATTGTGCAAATTATATAGTGATTGCGTGTTGAAGTGATTTTGCCATATTTACTTGTTCGTGTGACGTGGAATTTCGCGCGCGGGCCGAGTAGATATACGGTCTAGAATTCGAACCGCGCATTCCTTTCCGAGGGCGTCTCCCGGTTGATTGTTTGGAAATCATCGTTTAATTATACCGCCGCGTTAAGAGCCTTTTGTGTGTTGACTCGGTAGCTAGTTTACGTGTCAGTTAGGTTGATTTTTAATTCTTATTGCGGCGTGGTGTTTAATATCGAACGAAGGAGCTTAGTAGTGTTTGTAACGCTGAACTGTGTGACTCATGAAGAGATCGCGTTAGTTCCCTATTTGTAATTTGGTGATAAATGAATCCGGGACATTGAATGTTGAACTTTGAACTACGGTCCGTTACTTGTGTCGGGTATCACGTGTTCGATTCTACGATGAATGTTGAATTAGGCGAGTTGAAGTTAGTTAAATGTATAAACTTAATAGACTGAAATAGTGACAATGAAGAAAGAAACTGTCCATTGTGGACGCCTGCTGGAGTGATGCAGCATTGTGGGGCAGCATGGAAACCGGCCGCTGCCAGGTCACCTCAGCTGGGCTAGGTCACCCACATATACACACCACTAAACACTTCTTTACATGCATCTACTCTACCTACGGTCTGACCGAGCCTTGGGGCGGTCTTAGATTCGGATCCAGGTACGTACCAATTATTTTCCTAGCCTTCTCCCTATTTTGTAGTATGATAGGTCATTTTTCCATAAGGCCATTTGGGCCCGAACCCTCGGCTGCCCGGGGGACTCTTTATAATGAACTCTTTCTTCCAGAAGCGGCCCCATAGGAAGTGGACCTGGTCGAGCCCCGACGGTTCCACAAAAAATGAGATTGACTTCATTATGATGACCAGACGACAACTGTTCAGTGATGTCTCTGTGATCGCGAGGGTGAAAACTGGTAGCGATCACCGAATGGTTAGAGGCACACTGAACATAAACGTTAAGTTGGAGAGATCTCGTCTAATGAAGTCAACGCTCCGTCCCCCTCGTGATCTAATACAAAGTCCCGAAACCTTTCAGCACGAGTTACAAAACAACGTTCAGTGCCTGGAAGATTGCAATGAAGTGGACGATATGAATGATAAGCTCGTGGAAACTGTCCATGCGGTCGGAGCTAAGTTCTGCGAGACCCACCGCAGCAGAACACAAAAACTCTCCGATCACACTCTTAATCTCATGGCTGTTAGACGGGATATGAAACTGCAGTCTCCAACAGATTTGACAGCATACAGGCAACTGAACAGACAGATCTCCAAATGCATGCGGCAAGACTTACGCAACTTCAATACAGCTTGTATTGAAGAAGCGATCCAGCGGAACCAAGGCTCCAAAGTCTTTGCCAGAGATCTGTCTGTCAGAAAGAGCCAACTGTCAAAGCTGAAGACCGAGTGTGGTAGCATTGTTTCCGGGACACCTCAGATTTTGAGTAAGATTGAGAGAGCAAGTCTTATCCGACACTATTCCGATGATATCCCGGACGTCAGTCTGAGCGAGATTAGAATGGCTCTCCAGCAGCTTAAATACGGCAAGGCCCCAAATGAGGATGGAATCACAGCGGAGCTTCTGAAAGCGGGTGGAAAACTGTTACTTGAAGTCCTTCAGAAGCTCTTTAATTCCGTTCTCCATGA